AATATTCCGTAAACAACGCACAGGTAAATAGCATTATTTACAACACATTATTATATGGTAACTAAATCAACTAGATTCATATCCATTAATATGGAAAGGAAGTTTCTAAGTAAAAAACAAAAAATATTTAGTAGTTTTTTTGTTTGTTTTTTGAGACGGGGTCTTACTTTGTAGCCCTTGCTGGCCTGGAACTCAGTATGCAGACCAGGCTAGCCTCAAACTCTCAGAGATCCACCTACCTTTACTGCTAGGATCAAAGCTGTGTGCTACCTTAAGGTGAGATAGAGCTCTCCATGGTGACAGTATAAAACCACGGAATCATAAACACAAATTTACCCAAAGCCATTTCCTTGGTGAGGTAAAAAGGAGTGGAATGCAAAGTAGTAAAGGGTCATGGTGGTGCATGCCAGAATAATTAAAGCAACTCAGGAGCTGAGGCAGGAGGATCACAGTGAGTTCCAGGTGGGGGAGTATTGAGGGGAGGTGTCAGTTTTATCTTCTCAAGTCTACTTAGATTGGGTAGTGGGGTTAAGTATTGGCAAAACTGCTCACAGTATTTTTCTGTTTTAAGTACTATTCATAATGAATTTGAGGTGATGTATCCTCCAGAGCTGCAGAATAACCAGTAATTACATATTAAGGCTCTCCTAATACACTGTGAATTACATTTCAGAGAACTCAACTGATTTTTGTACTCTAATCATAAATCACAAATATTTTATTTTAAAATACATTTAATAAAAATAACCCATAGTTTTACATATTGTACATGTGTAGAATATTTACAAGTTCTCTTCTATGGCATTTAATGCTCCCTGTTTTTTCTGTTCCATTATTTGTCTTTCGGATTATCTTTTCAGCAGTGAAACGCTGTCCACTGTTCGCTGTAACTAGAAAATCAGCTTCTTGGGCAATATTCCTGAAAGGAAAACAGAAAGGCTGCTCACTCCCTGCATTCAGCACCACTATCTGACTCACAGGCCCCTGTTACACGTGACACAACACTCCTAAGATGGCTGGACAGGGGCTGGAGAGACAGCTCAGCAGGTAAGAGCATTACTGCTCTCCCAGAGGACCTGGGTTCAACAGCCACAGCACACACAGCAGCTCTAAACTGTCTCTAACTCCAGTCTCTGGGATCTGATGCCCTCTTCTGGCCTTCACAGGTACTGCACACATGGTACACAGACACATGAAAATAAAACACTCATACATACAAAACTAAGTTATAAAAATTAAAAAAAAAAAAAGAGTTAAAAACAAAAAACTGTTCTTGATTGGGTGATGGGGGTGCACATCTTTAATCTCAAGACGCAGGCAGCCAAGGCAGGCAGATCTCTGTGAGTTCGAGGCCAGCCTGGTCTACAAAGTGAGATCCAGGAAAGGCGCAAAACTACACAGAGAAACTCTGTCTCGAAAAACAAAAAACAAACAAAAAAACAAGAAAGAAAAAAAAGAAAGTTTAAGGCCAGCCTGGTCTACAGAGTGAGTTCCAGGCCGGTCAGAGATACATAGTGAGAGCCTGTGTACAAAAAACCCCAAACAAACAGAAAAGAGGGGTCAGTGGTGGGGGAGAGGCCTAGAACGTTGGCTTAGTTGTAAAGAGCACTTTCTACTCTTCCAGAGAACCCGTCTGGTTCCCAGTGTACCGTGCACTTCCTGCAACACCAGCTCCAGGGGATCTGAGGCCTCTTCTGGCCTCCACACATGGCATACATTCACAGCCAGAAACTCAAAAGTTTATTATGAAAAAAAAAAAAAAAATGGGGCGGGGGGAGAGAAGGCACACATGGACCCTCTTATAAGTCTGAGGTCTACTCTCAAGTGTCCGAAGTATCCACAATTGAAGGAAAGGAGGACTTTTATCTCTCTCTCACAGTTTAAAACAGCTCCACAGCTCCATTTTCTTAACTGGCTTCCAGTCACTAGCTACACACGAACTATTTAGAGCTTTCTGATGTCATTCATCATTTTGTTTGTTTTTACCAATGGGGATCTTTCTTTACCTTGTTCTAAGGCCTCTGTTCTTTTTCGTTTGGTTGCCACAGATGGATTTGCCTGTTCCTTCAGGGCTTCCGCGGGACAGTTTGGTCTTGGGAGCTGGCATCCAGGTGTTGGTCCCGGACGGTTGCTGAAGTACTTCGTCTTTAGTGCCTTGTCAGAGAAAAGAAACCAGAGGGCGGGTTTAGTCTTTTGTTTTGAGAGCACGGGCTCCTCCTGCTTGTTCTGAGTGCTGGGATGACAGGCATGGCCAGCCAGCAGCGGTGCGTTCAACGTTTGCACTCTATGTAGGAAAGTCTACCCCAAATGTGGACAGCACTAAAAACAGTATGTAAAAGCCCCATGTCCCAAAACAAAGACTCAACAGCAAGTATGTGGTTGTAATTACTACAACCGGCTGCTGCTGTCCCTGGAGGAGGAGGAGGGAGGCTCACTCCTTTATTTCTACGCCATTGACTGTACTGGAACCAATGAATTACAAATACAGAATCCATTGCAAATGGGTGAAAGTTTGCTCAGGCCTACCCAAGGTTTCTATTAACCACTAGAATATACTGTTGCAGAATTTACAAAATTTATAAAAGTGGTTTCCTCTCAAATGACAAGTTTGTCAACTAATACCTATTTATAAAATACTAGTACTATCCAACAGCCACAGCAGTTTAATCACTAGATACTTCTCTTAAGAGTCAAGGCATGGTACCACATATCTATAATTCTAGCAGTTGGGAGGCAGAGGCAAGATTAGGACTTTGCCATTTAAAAAATTTTTTAGACTATAACATATTTTGACATATTTTCTTTTCTTTTCTTCTTCTTCTTTTTTTTTTTTTTTTGGTTTTTCGAGACAGGGTTTCTCTTGTGTAGCTTTGCACCTTTCCTGGAACTCACTTGGTAGCCCAGGTTGGCCTCGATATTTTGACCATTTTTTTTCCTCTTTCCCAACTCCTCCCAGTTCCTCTGTACCCATCCATATTCATTCTCTCTCTCTCTCTCTCTCTCTCTCTCTCTCTCTCTCTCTCTCTCTCTCTCTCTCTCAAAAAAAAAAAAAAAAAGAGGCAGATCTCTGTGAGGTCAAGGCCAGCCTGGTCTACAGAGCTAGTTCCAGGACAGCCAGGACTACATTGAGAAACCCTGCCTTATTGTTAAAAAAAGCACTGTGGGGCTGGAGAGATGGCTCAGAGGTTAAGAGCACCGGCTGGTTCAAGTCCCAGCAACCACATGGTAGCTGTAGCTCACAACCATCTATAGAGATGAGATCTGGTGCCCTCTTCTGGTGTGCAGGCATGTATGCAGGCAGAACACTGTATACACAATAAACAAATAAAAATCTTTTTAAAAAAAAGAAAGAAAAGGAAAAGAAAAAGAAAATGGTGGCTGGAGAGATGGCTCAGTGGTTGAGAGCACTGGTTGCTCTTCCAGAGGACCCAGGTTCAATTCCCAGCACCCACATGGCAGCTTACAACTGTCTGTAACTCCAGTTCCAGGGGATCTGACATCCTCATACAGACATATATGCAGGCAAAACCCCAATCCCCAATGTATGTTAAATAAATAAATAAATCTTAAAAAAAAAAAAAAAAAGAAAAAGAAAAAGCTCATCTGAAATATAGCAGTTTGAGTGAACCTCCCCCCACACCCCCCCCCCCACACCCTAAGCAAGTGTAAACTCTTAGATGTAAAAACCAGCCTGGACATTGTTTACAGCTTAGAGGAAAGCACACAAATATATATACTTAAGATATACATCTTCCTGGTATTTAAGAGATATTAGAAAATTTTAGACATTTGAGTTTTATTAATGCTGCCAAGAAGATGACCCTTGGGTTTCCTAAAGTAAGTACCTGGGAAGCAGTAGTTCTAGTACACGGATTGAATAAGAACAAGCCTTGGATGAGATCGAGCAAGTCGTCTCCTGCTGCAATGAAGATGTGCTGCAGTGGGATCCCCGGGAAACTCTTAAACGTCACGTAATCTGGAAGACTACACATGTCCTGAAAACAGATTTTTTTACAGTTCAAATTTAAGTAAAGGACTTTGAGACACAGAAATGGAACAAAGAAACAAAATGTGACCTGTCAAGTAGTCTGTGTAGAAAATCCTAAGAAAACTATTTAAAGGGAAAAACAAACTGGAATTGTAATCCATAAAGGCTTTAAGACATAAATATAACATAAATATACTTAGAAATCATAGTTCTACATACTAACAACGAACAACAAACACCAGAACAGAAAACACAATATTTAGCTGGGCTTGGGAGGCAAAGGCAGCTGGACTTCAGGGCCAGCCTGGTCTACAAAGCAAGTTCCAGGATAGCCAGGACTGTTACACAGAGAAACCCTGTCTTGAAAAACAAACAAGGCTGGAGAGGTGGCTCAGGGATTAAGAGCACTGGCTGCTCTTCAAGAGGTCATGAGTTCAATTCCCAACAACCACATAATGGCTCACAACCATCTGTAATGACACATGGTACCCTCATCTGGCATGCAGGGATACATGCAGGCAGAAACAACACTGTATATGTAATAATCTTTAAAAAAAAAAGACAAACAAACAAACAAAAGGAACACACAATACCTTATAATTATGCCAAAAAGGAAAATATTTGGTTGAGAAGTCTTAACAAAATATGTACTGGCTCATGTACTGAAAGCTATAAAATGCTGATGAAATAAACATCTATATAAAATATGAGAAATGTTTATGGTTTCAAAGATTCAACACAGGAAAGAAGTGATTCTCCAGAAAACAGGGTTAAAATCTTGCTTGACAAACTACATATGCAAACCACTTACTCTGAATCTTATATAGGAAGGTAAAGGACTAGTTAGTTGAAACAATTTTCAAAAATAAAAAAGTGGGAATTGCTTTATATACCTTATTTTTTTTTTTTTTTTTTTTTTTTTTGGTTTTTTGAGACAGGGTTTCTCTGTGTAGCTTTGCGCCTTTCCTGGAGCTCACTTGGTAGCCCAGGCTGGCCTCGAACTCACGGAGATCCGCCTGGCTCTGCCTCCCGAGTGCTGGGATTAAAGGCGTGCGCCACCACCGCCCGGCCACCTTATTTTATTTTAAGACCTAAAAGAGCAACTGTATGGTACTGACTGAGGGACAGATCGGGATTAATGGAGCACACAGAAAACCCAGAGATCCACATGTATCTGCCAAGCGTAGTTCTGAAAAGGCATAAAGGAGTTCTGTCGAGTCTTTTTGACAAAACAGTGCTGCAGCATGCACACACACACACACAGGACAGGGACAGCTTAGGATGGCATGGTAATGCATACCTATAATCCTACCACTCCAGAGACCAAGGCAAGAAGATCTTAAATTGTAGGTCCCAATCAATCAATCAATCAATCAATCAAACCAAACCACAAATAAACCAAAACACAAAAAAATTCAATTAGGAAATTACAAAATGACAAAAAAGAAATAAGATATTAATTTAGTCTCAGATACTTTTGTTATAGTTTTAACAAGAATGTAAGAATTCGGTTTTAAGGTCGGGCGGTGGTGGCACACACCTTTAATCCCAGCACTTGGGAAGCAGAGCTAGGTGGATCTCTGAGGGTTCGAGGCCAGCCTGGGTTACCAAGTGAGTTCCAGGAAAGGCGTAAAGCTACACAGAGAAAACCCTGTCTCGAAAAAACAACCAAAAAAATCCGGTTTTAAATGTTCACTTTCCCTTCTTACTGATTTCGGTGACAGAGGGGTAGGAGAATGTGTGTGGTATACATGTGTGTCTGGAGCTGAGGAGACAGCTCTCTGACTGAACCAGGTTAGGCTGGTAGCCAGCAAGCCCCAGGAGTCCTCCTGGCCTGTCCTCGACAGCGGGGAGCCACAGGAATGCTACAACGGATTCTGTGTTGTTGCTGGCTTTGCAAAGGTGCTGGATATTCAAACTCAGGTCCTCATGCTTGAGCAGGAAGCACTCTTAACCACTACGCATGTCCACAGGCCCCTAAGATTCATTTTTCTAACATTTGCCCCTCAGAACCTGGGGTGTAAGCTGGAAGTTTCTCTAGTCCTGCCTGCCCTGTGGTGGTCGGGCTCAGGTTTCTCAGTAGCTAGTGCTACAACTTAACTCAACACCATTTCTATATGTTGCCATGTGGCCGTGGCGTTACTGGTCTGTGGGCATCTTGCTTCTCCTTGGGCAGCAGGTATCTCTCCCGACTCCACCCTTCATCTTGTGTTCAGTTCGATTGTACTGCCTAACCTTATCCTGCATTGCCACAGGCCAATGCAGCTTTATTTATCAACCAATCAGATATTCACAGTGTACAGAAAGACATCCCACAGCACTGGGGCTACAATGGGAATGGAAAGTCAAAAGTTATTCAACCTCAAGAATCTGAGTAAGCCAACACCCAGCCATACCACTCTTGAGCATATACCCAAGGAATACTCAATCACACCACAAAGATACATGCTCAACTATGTTCATAGCAGCATTATTTGTAATAGCTAGAACCTGGAAACAACCTAGATGCCGGTCAACTGAAGAATGGATTAAGATAATGTGGTACATAAACACAATGAAATACCACTCAGCGGGGAAAAACAATGACAGCACGAAATTTGCAGGCAAATAGATGGAACTAGAAAACATCATCCTGAGTGAGGTAACCCAAACCCAGAAGGACAAACATGGTAGGTACTCACTCATAAGTGGATACTAGATATAAAGAACAATCAGACTACAACCCACAGAACCAGGGAGGGTATATAGCAGGAGGGACCCTAGGAAGGCTGTGGCTTATAATAAGTTTTGGTTTTACTCAATCACTGGACAAGCCTCAGTGAAACATTTCACTATTAGGATAAAAATTTGTGGGCTGGAGAGATGGCTCAGAGGTTAAGAGCACTGGCTGAAGCCGGGCGTGGTGGCGCACGCCTTTAATCCCAGCACTCGGGAGGCAGAGGCAGGCGGATCTCTGTGAGTTCGAGGCCAGCCTGGGCTACCAAGTGAGCTCCAGGAAAGGCGCAAAGCTACACAGAGAAACCCTGTCTCGAAAAACCAAAAAAAAAAAAAAAAAAAAAAGAGCACTGGCTGTTCTTCCAGAGTTTAATTCCCAGCAACCACATGGCGGCTCACAACCACCTGTAATGAGATCTGGTGCCCTCTTCTGGCCTGCAAGGACACCTGCAAGTAGAACACTGCATAATCAATCAATCAATCAATCAATCAATCTTTAAAAAAATAAGAATTTGTACTGTATCAAGCTGATAATAGACAAAAATAAATAAAAATGGAAGAAAAAAAAGATTCTGAGTATCCCAGTACTCGAGGCAGAGGCAGGAGGATCTCTGGAATTTTGAGACCAGCCTGGTCTACAGAGTTAGTTCTAGGACAGCCAAGGTGACACAAAGAAACCCTTTCTGGAAAAATCAAAATAAACAAGTAAATAAAGAATCTGAGTAAGTGGTAACAGATTGTTGCTATTGTTATTGAAAACCAGGTGAACCCAATGCTTTCTCAGAGGTCCCCAGGAAAAGACACAGGGGCAGACTTGGCAAGGTCCATCCTGGGGCTGGGGCCAGCCTCGAAAGACTTAAGGTTCCAGTTCCTAGGAACTTGATTTTAAAGCCCTGAAGAAACAGGAGACATCAGTCCCAAGGCCATTGAGTACTCAGTCCGGAATGCACTTGAGATATCCTATGTTCTGTTGGTGCAACATTGCTTGACTAGCTTCCTGCTGATTCTGACCCATCTCCTGTTCCCCCACCTCCACCCCACCCCGAAAACTATATATAGATGCTGAACTTCTTAATAAACTTGCTTGCATGAGTCATCAACTTGTGCAAGATCTCTTGACCCCAAACTTTCCAATCTTCTTTATTTCTCATCCCCTATTCCTCCCTTTTCAGGAACATGTCCCTGAAGAACAACTTGCTGGTCCAAGACGGTTATTTTTCTTTTTCTTTTTGAGACAGTCTCTCTATGCCATCCCGGCTATCCTGAAGCTTGCTATGTAGACTAAACTGGCCTAAAATTCAGAGATCCTCCTACCTCAGCCTGAGTGCTAGGATTAAAGGTGTGTACCTCTACACCTAGTGTTATAGTAGATTACTAAACTGTAATATGTAATTTAGCAATTTACAATCAGTATCTTTTTCTTTTTCTTTAAAAAGAGATGGGGGGTCTTGCTTAGGCTGGCTTCAAGTTCTTGAGCTCAAGCAATCCTCTTGGATCATTCTCTTAGTAGCTGGGACTTGAGAGATATATCATAATTGGTTTTTGGAACAAGATGATGATAAAATATTTAAATTGTACTAATAACCCAATAAATATACTTAGATTATCTAGATAGTAGGTAACTAACATAAATCTCCATAAAGGAGAGTATTACTCAGCCATCAGAAAAAGGAAAGGTTAGCACAGCATGGTGGCACACAATTTTAATCCCAGCACTGGAGAAGCAGCAGTAGATGGGTCTCTGATGGTCCCAGGCCAGCTAGAGTTAGGTAGTCAGAAACCGCCTCAATCCGAATACCCCACCAAAAACAAAACAAAACAACCCAAAACTGCCTCAATTAAAAAAGAAAGCCAAGTAGTAGGAAACAAAGGATTAGAGAGTAGCAACAGAGCAACCCTGCTACTATCCCTCTCTTTGAGTGCTTTTAGTGAGCTGGGGCCTTGAGCATGTCAACAGTCTTTTCCATCAAGCTACATCCCAAGCCCTCATCTTTTATTAAAGAATGAATGAATGAAAGACAATGCATTCTGCTTTACATTTGTGAGTGCACAGTTATGATCCATCAGCTGAAGGCAGTGATCAACCTGGAACAGACACTGGTGGGTGTAGGTCACAATCTGAATGTTTTCCTTCCTTTGTCATCTGCAGGTTTATGATGAGGGTCATTTTTTTATTTTTATTTATTTACTTTTTTGAGATAGATGAGGAACCTGCCTGACCCCATTTTAAAGGCAGGAACTAGTAAAAATGTTTCTATTTACTGTGAAAATTGAGTTGCTGTTTCCTGGAACCTGACCTACCCCAACCATGACTTTGATTTGTTTTTGAGAATACCCTAACTCTCCCTGACCCTCCTGACCATAGGATGTTCTTTACTACTTTTTTTAATATTTCCTTATTGCCCCAGTGTGTCCCTTCTGTAAAACTAATGATTTTACTCCTTGAAAGGGGTCCAAGAGTTGTATACAGGGCTGCTCTCTTTAACCCAATTTAGGAGGCAGTCACTGGCCAGCTCTTGGTACATCCCAATAAAAACCAAGCTTGTTTAAAATTTGGCTCAAATTGTAGTGGTCTTATTCTCATTGTTGGGATTAACACAGGATCTTAGTACATAGTTCAAGTGGCCTGGAACTCATATGTTAACCAGCAAGCATGGCCTTGAATTCTCCAAGATCTTTGAGACTGTAAGTACGTGCTACCATGCCCACCTAGGAGGATACTTTTCAAGTTGGTTCAGTGACAGAGCACTTATCCAGCAGGGGAAAGGTCTTGGTCCTTTAGAACTCTAGCACTGCAAAATTAATTAATTATTTTCTTCCTTGCTACTCAGGTACAGCAAACTAACTTTACAGAATCCTAACTACATTTCAAACAAAATGCATAAAGGCTTACAGGCCACTGTTCTTCAGTTGGTGTACCCAAAGTTTCAAATATTCTTGTTAGTTGATCAAGGTCTGAATCTCCAGGCAAAAAAGGAACCTGAAATTAAGAAATAGACATTTCAAATAGACATTTATTGAGAGTAGTTACATAAATAATGCTACAAAAAGTTATAATAAAAAAAATTAAACTCAGGTTTGGAGAGATGGCTCAGAGGTTAAGAGCACTGGCTGCTCTTCCAGGTTCTTAGTTCAATTCCCAGCAACCACATGGTGGTTCACAACCATCTGTAAGGGAATCTGACGTCCTCTTCTGTCATGCATAAAGCATTGATATATAGAATACACCAGTAAATAAATCTAAACAAATTACCAAAACACAAAAAGCTAAACTCTACAACAATTAAAAACTTACTTCAACAGGGCTGGAAAGAGCTAAAACAGTTTTTAAAAGCTGTTAAAAGTTGATTTCCATATCAACTTATTCCTTTGCAGTCCAAACTCACCTTCTCCCTCTCTGTAAAAGGCAGAGCTGGGCAGTTTCTAGCAGGTGCACCTAGACACACACTTTTTTTTTTTAAATAACATAATGCTTTATTGATTTTTTGGGAATTTCCCACCATGCACTAGACATACACTTTTTGAAGAGCTTCCCTCAGCACCCTAGAACAGATTTCCAATCTATTCCAAACAGCAGATTTTTAAAAATTCCTTTTATTCTTCTCTATGTGTAAGTGTGTGCTTGTTGTATGTATGTCTGTGTAACACGTTCATGCCTGATACCCTCGGAGGCTAGAAGAGGGTGTCAGAGTCCCTGGACGTGGAGTTACAGGTGATTGTGAGCTACCATGCACCAGGTGCTGGGTCCTGGGTCCTTTTAAGTGCTAAGCCATCAGTCTAGCCCTCCAAAAGATTTTTGGAAGTTACCAGAAGAGATGCAAAGCAACTTTTCTGCCATCCAATTCTCAGCTGTGCCTTTCTTTTCTGGATGATCTCAGTGGTGGGCAATCGAGACTGGTGCTTATATCTGATATTCCTAGGATTAATTGGCTTATTTATTAGTCAACCCTTCACTGTCCCCATCCCACTACAGCTGTGAGCGAGGAAAAAGGGTAGTGGGTTGGGTGGAAGAGTCTCACTCGCAGGCTAACTTTAAACCAAAGGTGATTCTCCCTGCCTCAGCCTCCAAGTGCTGGGATTACAGGTCTAAGCCACACCTTATATATTCTTAAATGTTCCTGAACAAATTATCATGTGGTTTGTTTTCTTTCTTTCTTTTTGGTTTTTTGAGACAGGGTTTCTCCGTGTGGTTTTGGTGCCTGTCCTGGCTCTCGCTCTGTAGACCAGGCCGGCCTTGAACTCACAGAGAACCGCCTGGCTCTGCCTCCCAAGTGCTGGGATTAATGGCGTTTGTTTCCTAACTGGGCCCAAAGTTGGTACAAGCTCTAGTTGAAGGAATTCAGAAATGTCTCACGCTTGTGCAGAAAACATTTTAGCAAATGATTTATTTTTCCAGCCTCTGTGATGGTTAATCTCGTCTCTAAGGTAACTGTAAGGGAGTTTCTTATAGAGTGAAAAGGGTCAAGGAAAAACACCCTTCCAATAAGATCCTTCCAATCCCTGATCTTGCCCCAAAAATCCAACAATTCCAAACCACCCTGGAGAGCTCCCCCACCCCACCCCACCCCACCCCACCCCATGTAAGCTCTGTACTCTGTTCAGTTTGCTGCTGCTTCTCACCCTAGAGGCAGCCAACCTCCTCCTGGATTCTGCCTTCCCAATAAATCTCCAGTGAGGTTTGTTTTATGGTGTGACACACTAAAGTGGAGCCCAGCTGTAACAACTCTCACCAGAGCAGAGCAGAACAGATTAGAGCTGTAACACTTGGACGGGAGAAACTTTCCGCTGGTGGAGCTGAGTTGTTCCACTTCCCGACCCAGCAGAGCTCTAACTGCGCTCGCTCAGAACCCTCCCCCGCTCCCCTGCAGAGTTGTTACACTTGCACTGGGGAGGGAAGACCCACCCTAATGTGGGCGGCACCACTGGAAGGGCTGAAATCCTGGACTAAATAAAGGGAGTGGAGCACCAGCATTCGCCCCTCTGCTTCCTTACTGCAGATGGGATGTGACAAGATGTGACAAAGCCCCTCGAGCTTCCTTCCGTGGCCATGACTTCTCTGCTATAACGGACTATACACTCAGGCCAAGTTCCTCATTGTGAGTTGTCAGTATTTTGTCATAGCAATGTGAAAATACCTACACATGACTGGCCTCAAATTCTTAATTCTTCTGCTTCTTCCCAGTCACTGGGCTTGGTTTTGTGAGACAGAATTTTACTCTGTGATCCAGGCTAGTCTTGAACTCACATTGATCTTCTGCCTCAGCCTGCCACATCCTAGGATTATAATATGTACCATCATCACCTGTTGAAACTTTTCTTTAACAAGCTGACTTTGCTTATCCATTTCTTGCTGTAGGATTACGATGAAGAGATAATGCCTAGAAAATCATGGGACCTTTATTAACCATACTTAAGGGTGTACATGAATTTAAGACTTACCCTTAGAAGCAATTCTGCTAATATACAGCCAACAGCCCACATGTCCACACCCACACCATACATTCTAGCTCCAAACAATAACTCAGGGGCCCGGTACCATCTGGGGAAAAAAAAATGAAATAATGTTATATGAGACTTCAATTATTAAGGCTTTATTTTATTTTATTCTTTTGAGACATGGTCTCAACTCAGTAGCTCTGATGATGTCCTGGAACTCACTATGTAGACCAGGCTGGCCTCCAAATCCCAAGTGCTAGGATTAAAGGGATGTGCTACCAAGCCCAGCAAGGCTAACTGTTAAAAGATGAACTATCATGTTTTTAGACCCAATCACTCACCATGAGTCCTGAAGCACCCTGCCTTGCCAGTTCTCAAGAACACTATTCTTGAAATACCCTCCACTTTCCCATTATAAATTCTTTTTTTAAAAATATTATTTTTTACTTTATTTGCATTGGTGCATTACCTGCACGTATATCTGTGTGAGTGTGTTAGATCTTAGAGTTACAGACAGTTGTTAGCTGCCATGTGGGTGCTGGGAATTGAACTCAGGTCCTCTGGAAGAGCAGTCAGTGCTCTTAATCGCTGAGCCATCTCTCCAGCCCTCCCATTATAAATTCTTTGCTTTCTACTAGACTTTTCCCATTAACATGCTAATATCACTTCTCTAAAATCTATTTGCACCCAATTTCCCTTCTCTCATTCTTCCCTAAATTTCCTGATTTTAATTTTTTTGTTTTTGTTTTTGAAACAGGATCTTAGGTAGCCCAGGCTGGTCTCAAGATCATATAGTTAAGGTACCCCTTGATCGATCGATCTATCTATCTATCTATCTATCTATCTATCTATCTATCTATCTATTCATTTAATGTACATGAGTGCTCTATCTGTAGGTACATCTTTATGACAGAAGAGGGCACCAGATCCCACCATAGACTGAACCTCCATGAAGTTGCTGGGAACTGAACTCGGGACCTCTGGAAGAGCAGCCAGTGTTCTGATTCATTGAATCCATCTCCCCAGCCCATACCTTGAATTCTTGATTCTCCTGCCTCTGCATTCCAAGTGCTGGGATTTCAAGTGTGATAATACATCTGGCCCCTAAACTCTTTATTTATGTTAATCTTTTAAAGGTCTGATCATTTATCTGTTATGATTAAAGATTGATTTTTGAAGCCAGGCAGTGGTGGTGCATACCTTTAATCCCAGCAGAAGTAGGTGGATTTGAGTTCCAGGACAGCCAGGGATACACAGAACAACCCTGTCCATGTCTCTTGGAGAGCTGGAATCTTTGATATCCTTCATTCCCTTGGCCAAAAATTTATTCTGCAGCTTCCTTCTTATTTTTCTTAGTGTTGTTTATTCAGAGCAGTGCATTCGTGTTTATGCTGTAGGGCATGTGGAGTAACAAAGACGCTGAATCCTGGGTAGTCTCGTTGGTCCTGGGATTTTCACCTTCACTGGGCTTTCAAACACTATGTTAGCAGACACCATCTTCTTCTTTAGAGAGACTAAAACGTTTTCAGAATCTGCTAGCTCTTTTGGGCTCCAACCTCAGAGGCACAGTAGTATCCTTCAAGTCCAGGAATATCCCTTTCCCTCCTCTTTTTGTTTTTACAATAAACCAAGTTGAAAACACTCAGACTGGCACCCACAACGTACCCTCAAATAGACCTGCCCTTCTTCCTCTCTCCAGCTCTCCTTGGTCTCTACCAAGAACGCCCTTACTCAACAGCGGGTGCACTCTGCTGTGCATCAGGACATCTTCTGCTGTTTCCATCCCTGATTCCGACCACACAGCCCTTCGACTCTTCACCAGAGCATTAACAGCAACTTCTGTGGCCATGTGCTTCTTATACAAAGTATGTTTTGGTTCATCATCCACTTCAACGAGTTCCTGACAACCAATAGCTAGGAAGGAGATATTCAGCTTCATCTTGACACAGCCGACCGCTTAGGATGCCATGAAAAAGGGCCCCTGCCAGGCGGTGGTGGCGCACACCTTTAATCCCAGCACTTGGGAGGCAGAGGCAGGCGGATCTCTGTGAGTTCGAGGCCAGCCTGGTCTCCAAAGAGAGTTCCAGGAAAGGCACCAAAGCTACACAGAGAAACCCTGTCTCGAAAAACCAAAAGGGCCCCATAACCTTTACAATCAGGGTTTTTATCCCTACCACTATGTTTTGTCAACTTCATCACCCTGGTAATCCAATTGTTGAAATCTTTCCAGGACTCACAGCCCCTACTTTTTATTTGTGGGTGTGTAGTCAAGTAACTGATAGTCCTAAAACTTATTTGGAAGAAGGTAACAAAATAATTTATGGAAGAATCTGAAATTTTTCTCAGATCCTTGAAAATCTTAGGAATTAACAAATGCAGGCCAGGCCGTGCATAACTTTAGTCCCAGCACTTAGGAGGCAAAAGCAGGTGGATCTTAATTCGAGGCCAACCTGATCTACAGAGTGAGTTCCAGGACAGCCAGGGCTACACAGAGAAACAGTTTCCAAAAAACAAAAACACAACAACAACAACAAAAAAAACAAACAAACAAAACAAAGGCAGACCAGATGTGATGCCACACATCTATCATTCCAACTCGGGGTAGAAGTGGGTAGAGAGTTCAAAGTTATCCTTAAACAAAGCATTTGGGGTCTGCCTAGGGTTATGAGAGACCATTTCAAATGAAAAAAAGAAAAACAAAGGCACTATGACAAGAATTATAAAATCTGTAGTCCCTATTTAGTGTGATTTCTCTCGTTTTTCATGATAGGGTTTCTCTGTGTAGTCCCAGCTGTTCTAGAACTAGCTCTGTAGACCAGGCTGGCCTCAACTTGAGACCTGCCTGCCTCTGCCTCCTGAGTGCTGGGATTAAAGGAGCTTGACACCCATGTCCCACTTACAATTTTTTGAGTTAAAAAAGTTACTGTGAGAATCAAGATGTAGCTCAGTTAATCACTAGCTCATCAAAAGTATGTCTGAGGACCGAGTTAATTAGATTCTGTCTGAAAGAGCTGTGTGCTTTTCACTGTGGCAAAGTAGACTTAATATAAAAAGGGCTATATTTGAGATGATACCAATGGTGACTCACTCCTGAGTTCTACAAAGGTAGTTCAGAGAAACTAGCTGATGTTCATTAGTGGTCAACTATGAACATGAACTCTCAGTTTCTTAAGGTATCCTCACCTGGTCACAACTTGATGCGTGTAAGCCCTATTAGGGCTCCCAAATGATTTGGCCAGGCCAAAATCTGCCAGTTTCAGAACTCCATTCTCATCCAACAACAAGTTGTTTGGTTTCAGATCCTGTATCAAAACAAACAAAATCAAGCAGGATTAGAGGAAAACAACATAATGAGACATTTAGCTAGCCTGTGTATTTGAGACAGAGTCTTATGTAGCCCAGGCTGGCTTTGAATTCACTATGTAGTCAAAAAGGACAACCTTGAATTTCTATTGCTTCCACCTTTACTCCCAGCAATTACTGTTGCTACTACCTTTACTGCTGGGGTTGCAATTTATGTAGCAAATATGGGGTTGAGGACTGAAAGCAGGGCTTCATGTATGTTGGGCATGAATTTTATCAACTGAGCTATGTCCCCAGCTCCAGTTAGTTTAACTTTAAAACAAGAAAACTGGGAGCTGGAGAGATGGCTCAGAGGTTAAGAGCACTGGCTGCTCTTCCAGAGGTCCTGAGTTCAATTCCCAGTAACCACATGGTGGCTCACAACCATCTGTAATGAGATCTAGTGCCCTCTTCTGGTGTGCAGGCAGAACACTGTATACATAGTAAAAATAAATAAATCTTTAAAAGAAAAAAGAAAACAAAACAAAACTGGGCATACTGGCACACACTAGTAACCCCAGCACTTAGGAAACTTAAGACAAAGAAGGAACAATGAATATACAACAGGCCGTCTAGGTGTGGTGCTTTGAAAGAAAATGGCCCCCAAAGGGAGTGGCACTATCAGGAGGTGTGGCTTTGTTGAAGTAGGTGTAGCCTTGCTGGAGGAAGTATATCATTGTAGGGTAGGCTTTGAGGTCTCTTTTGCTCAAGCTTCCCTCAGCGTAACATACAGACCACTTCCTGTTGACTTCTGATCAAGATGTAGCCAGCACCATGTCCGCCTGCACACTGCCATGCTCCCTACCATGATAATGATGGACTGAACCTATGAACTGCAAGTGAGCCACCCTCAATTAAATGTTTTCCTTATAAGAGATGCTGTGGTCATGGAGTCTCTTCACAGCAATAGAAACCCTAACTAAGATATTTAGCTACAGGGAAAGACTATCTTCAAAACAAAACCCATCAACTGAACTGGCAAGGTAAGAGCTATTTGCAGTAAACTTAAGGACCTAAATTTTATTCTTAGAACCCGGAGTGGCAGGAGAGAAGTGACCCCTGGGAACTATCATCTGGCTTCCACATATATACCGTGCACACACCCTGCTCCAGTCATGTACCTGCACTCACATACACAGACACATGCACTGAAAATACATAAAATAGAAACCTGAACTGACCAATGACAAAAAGTTTGCCTGAACTTAAGCAGCAACATTAAAAGTCAGGTGTGGTGAAACACATCTACAATCCCAGCAATCAGGAGTCAGAAGAATCAAGAATTTGAGGCGACCCTGGGCACCATCCTGGAATACAAAGCAAGACCTCTCCCTCTCATGGATGGATGGATGATTACTTAAAATCTTACCCTGTGTAGAATCCAATGCTGATGTAAATACTCTAACCCCTGAAGAGTCATCAACATGTAGGCTTTAATGTGGGATGGCGTCAACACAAGACTATTATCCTTTATTATAACCTACAAAGTAGACAAGCAACATACAGGTACATTTCTTTATTCCAAATGAACTCTAAGACATATAAAATATAGATTTAAAATGAATGTATCCATACACAAGTATTTCTATGAGTGAGAGACTATTCAACTTCACTTTACAAGGTATCACATGAATTTCCAAAATTCGATGGTTAAAAAGCATCATCGATTTTGAGAAAAAGCAATACTGTGTACCCTACAACTCTGGTTTAGAAGTATTGCGCATTGGGGCTGGAAAGAGAGCTCAGAGGTTAAGATTACTGGCTGCTCTTCCAGAGGATCCAAGTTCAATTTCCAGGACCCACATGACAGTTCACAATTGTCTGTAACTCTAGTTCCAGGGGATCTGACACGCTCACACAGATATACATGCAGATAAAATACCAGTGAACATAAATACATCCTTAAAAAAAGAAAGAAGTATTGAATGTCTGTCAGTTTTGTTTGCCCCTTCTGGCAAGCGCATTTAGTATTACTGTGGGAAATCAATTCATCCCAGCTCAGGTCACACATGGTAAAAGAAAGACTGACCTAACCTCTACCTGAGACCTCCACACTGAGGCCTCTTGGCCAAGAGACAGGCTGCTTAAGAACAAACACATGACCTATGACCTAAAACCTAACACCATTAAAGAAACCCAAACAATGACAGGTGGTGGTGGTGGCGGCTCACACCTTTAGTCCCAGCACTCAGGAGGCACAGGTTGGCAGATCTGAGTTCAAAGCCAGCCTGGTCTACAGAGCAAGTTCCAGGATGGCCAGGACTACACAAAACAAAACAACAAACAAACAAACAAAATCAAAGGAAACCAAGCATTTCCTTACAGGGGTAATTAAACTAAGACTATCAGATTTGGAATTGCCTGGGAAAGTAGGGTGGAAATATGTGCCCGTGACTGAAAGCTACAGAGAGGAAAAGAGGACTGACTCCAATGAGATTACTGTAAGCTCTGCCACAGCCCGTTTCTGGTTGAACTTTGGTTCCTTTTTATTCCTGGGTACTGTTTTCTTGTATGGGTGACTAATCTGTTTAAACATCCACTAGATGAAGCACGTTTTAGCTGTTTCCAATTTTAGTGAACACTCATATACCAAGTGATTTCTGTGTTGGCAATGTTTTTCTCTTGGATAAACAGCAATCAGTGGTTGATAGATTGCATTATTATTACTAATGACTGCAATATTACTTATACATAATATATACTTATATACATAATATAATACTGGTGAATTAGTGGTACTCATGCTAGGCCCTATAATAAGATATAGCATTGGGATGGCATCACTGGGAACCTGAACAGCCAGCCGAGTGTGTTTTGCAGTTTTGACAATGGCCAAGAACAAATTAAAAAGGCAGAAGTTCAGGAATGTATTTCACATAGCTAGCCAAAAAAACCTTCAAAGCTAAAACCAAGGCAAAACCAGTTACTACTAATCTTTTTTTTTTTTTTCCCAGAGCTGAGGACCAAACCCAGGGCCTTGAGTTTTCTAGGCAAGCTCTCTACCATTGAGCTAAATCCCCAACCCGTAGTTATCTTAACTACTAATCTTAAGAAGATAAACATTATGAATGATGAAAAAGTCAACAGAATGAACACAGCTTTTGTAAACATACAGAAAGAACTTGCAAACTTTTCCAAAAGCCTTTCTCTTGAATCTGTGCAGAAAGAGCTGAAGCCCCGTGAAAATGAACCAGCTAATGTTGATGAAGTGATAAGACTAATGGCTCAGTTGTAACAGTGACAGTATATCACATTCCCCCAAAGATCAATAAACTGAACGCTCATACAACTTAAAAAAAAAAAAAAAGATACAGCATTGTCACCAGCCTGCATACTTAGTGAATTCCTTTTACTATTTAATGCTGTGTTATAAAAATTCCTAAACAAGCCGGGCAGTGGTGATGCACGCCTTTTATCCCAGCACTCGGGAGGCAGAGTCAGGCCGATCTCTGTGAGTTCGAGGCCAGCCTGGGCTACCAAGTGAGTTCCAGGAAAGGCGCAAAGCTACACCGAGAAACCCTGTCTGGAAAAAGAAAAAAATAAAATAAATAAATAAATAAATAAATAAAAATTCCTAAACAAAAAGGCCAGGCGGTGGTGGCACACACCTTTAATCCTAGCACTTGGGAGGCAGAAGCAGGTGGATCTTTGTGAGCTTGAGGCTAACCTGAGCTACAGAGTGAGTTCCAGGAAAGGTAAAAAGCTACACAAAGAAACCCTGTCTCAAAAAAACCAAAAAAAAAAAAAATTCTTTTACCTTTGAACTGATAGTAAATGTATCTTTGATAACAAACTGTCCTATTTTCCAAAGTTACTATTATATATTATATATAATAAATATATATAATATATATTGCACACACACACAAAACTATTGGATTCAAACCAGCAATGTATGAGGATCCTAGTTGTTTTAAAACCTTGGATTGTCAGTTTTTCTGAGATTCGATTAATGAAAAGCATGCGACTTTAAAAAATCTGAATCTCTACACTAGAAATACAGCAAATGTACAGAAATCAGCGATCGTTTTGACTTCTGCAAAAGTAAGCTAGTTTTTGTGGGTCAGGTTTTTCTCTCACTGAGTGTGGAGAGTCTCTAGGAACCCTACCCTTACCTCCAGGTCAGTTTCCATGAAATCAAAGACAAGGCTAATGTTAGATTTATGTCCAAACGCATCAAGGAGCTGCAAAGCAAAGCAATTAAATTGTTATTTTCTATTTAATGTTGGAATTTATCACTGAAGTAATTTTAAAGTTATTTGCCCTCCTCTACCCACAAAGTGAGCTGGCTAGGCAAGTGTTCTACCACAAAGATAGATCCCCTAGTCCTTGGTCTTTTGAGACCACATTATCACTACGTAACTCAGGCTGACCTAGAAGTTGCTACGTAGTTCAGACTAGCCTGCACTCATAATCCTCCTGTCTCTGCCTCTACCTCTCATGTAATTATAATACAAATGTGCACTACTTGGCTTAAATTTTTAAACGGCTGGCAATTTCCTGTAAACCTGAAAGTCCTTTATTAAATTTAACATTTGCCCCATTTTTTCAACAGGAGTTAGTTTTCTCAGGCACAAAATATTAAACCTTATTTAACAAATTCACTAAAAACTCAAAGACTCCTCTCCTTAAACCCCAAGAATTAGAATAAATAAGTTAATGAAAATTTCACAGCCCTGGTGGTGGTAGTACTTGCACATGCCTTAATACCAGCACTCAGGAGGCAGAGGCAGGTGGATTTCTGAGTTTGAGGCCAGCCTGATCTACAGAGAGAGTTCTAAGACAGGCTACACAGAAAAACCCTGTCTCAAAAACCAAACCAAAACAAACCAAAAAAACAAACAAACAAACCAAAAAAAAAAAAAAAAAAAAAAAAAAAAAAAAAAAAAAAAAAAAAAAAAAAAAAAAAGAAGATAAAATTTCACCTTGCTATCTAGTTGGAAAAATCCCTGGGACTGGGGATATGGCTCAGCAGTTAAAGCCCTTGCCATACAAACTTGAGGACTGGAGCAGAGCTCAGATTTCAGACCCATGTAAAGTCAGGTGAGAAAGGTGTGCCTGCAATTCCAGCTTCGGAAGGTGAAGACAGGGTTTCCCAGAGCAAGTCAGCTAACAAAAATACCCAAACCACTGAGTTCTGGTTTTGAGTGAGATTCTGCCTCAATGCATAAGATGGAAAAGTAATAGAAAATGACATCCTATATAAACCTCAGACCTCCAAATACACATGCACAGACAAAACATGGGTAAATACACATGCACACACACCACACACTCAAAATGTGAGAAAAGAAAAACATTCTTAATTTTTATAAATTTTTTTGCCAGGCATGGTGGCATATGCCTTTAATCCCAGCACTCAGGAGGCAGAGGCAAATAGATCTGAGTCAGAGGATACAGAGTGAATTCTAGGATAGGCAGAGCTACACAGAGAAACCCTGTCTCAAAAAAACAAATAAAAATATCTAAGCAAAATGCTTAAGAAAATTCTTGCCAAGTACAACAATATACCTTGTAGTTCCAGTACGGTAATTACAGTAACTAACTGTAACAGGCCCCACACCTTAGCACAACTGACTCCATGATGGAAGTACCATTCAGGTCATAAAACTCAGCCTGTAGGCAGTACCACCTGCCAAATGAAAACAAAGACCTAATCCATCAAAGTCCATAGCTCTGGGAAAATGCACTAACCTTCTTTTTTGGCTTCTGTAGTTCCAATTTTGGCTAACTGTTCTTGTTAACTGAAGAATGTCGACCCAGAATGTGGTTTTTGTGCTTAAAAGCTCACCTTGAGAACAGTTGGTGCTACACTGGGTTCCAAACACTCAGTGTACTTGCCAGCCAGTCAGTAAGACTGTCTATTGGTTTAAGCCATGCCTAAACTGTCTTCTCTGGTGGATACCACACAAACACTAATTACTTGGGAGACAAGACAGAAGAAGCACCTGAGCCCATGAGTTCAAAGCTACACTACACAAAAGGCTGCCAAACAAAACAACACAAGGATAAAGAGTATCTTCTAAATAGCATCTGCCATCCTTTGAATGTGTGATTGTCCATGGCAGGCCCCACTACAGACACCATAGATGTTTTCAATTGGCTAGCCTGAAAACATCAAAAGAACACACTCCAGCCCTCATGCACGCAAAAAGAAAGGTTCTGTATTTGAATGTAAGTTGCTTACTTTTAACCCTGTGGCTACAGCTCTCTAGGATTCAATATCATCTCTGACAAAATTAGCCTGTTTGGCAACATTTGATTCATTTCATCAGTTATATTCACAATGCTAATGATACTACTTATAGCAAAAATGGGATAGAAAATACATTTTAGCGGGATGGTGGTAGTGCACACCTTTAATCCCAGCAACTGGGAGGCAGAGACAGGTGGATGTCAGTGAGTTTGAGGCCAGCTTGGTCTACAAAGCAAGTTCCAAGACAGCCAGGACTGTTGCACAGAGAAAACCTGTCTCAAAAAAAAAAAAAAAAAAAAAAAAAAAAGAATTTCAAGCTGATCAACTTTCAAGGCTTATCTCTGTCAACGCATCCTGCTGAGCTTCTGATCAATATTCATCATATTCAGAATATGGAGAATCCCCAAAAGCAAACTTAGATCATACTCACACCAATTATATTTGGATGACTTAGCTCCTGTAACAATTTTATCTCTCTTAAGGCTGTTCTATTTATACCTATGGAAAAAGAATGCAAAAAATGAACAATAATTCTGAAATTTCAAACCTTTTACAAATGTGGTTTTTTTTGTTTTTTGTTTTTTTTTAAGGAAAGGTCACTTCAAGAAATAAACATTTCACACACAAAAATGAATTAATTTTTACTATTTGTACAAGAAAGTTCTTTTTCTCATGTTGTTTTAAAGTAGCTTAACATATGGGGCTGGAGAGATGGCTCAGAGGTTAAGAGCACTGGCTGCTTCCAGAGGTCCTGAGTTCAATTCCCAGCAACCAGATAGTGGTTCACAACTATCTATAATTTGATCTGGTGCCCTCTTCTGGCAAGTAGGCAGAACACTGTATACATAATAAATCTTTTTTTAAAAAAGCAGCTTAACATAGTCTATGAAAAATGATGAGGGGCTGGAGAGATGGCTCAGAGGTTAAGAACCCGACTGCTCTTCCAGAGGTCCTGAGTTCAATTCCCAGCAACCACATGGTGGCTCACAACCATCTGTAATGAGATTTGGCTCCCTCTTCTGTATACATAATAAATAAATAAATCTTTAAAAAAAAATATCATTTATAGATTACTTGATAAACATAAAAAATGAGGAGGTATAAGTTTTGTATCAGACATATAAGGGTCATCAGCTTGAGAAAATCACTAAACTAGTGTTAATTTCATAGTTTAGCCTGATGTTTTATGTTCTATGGACTGATGCATTCCATATATAATTTCTCTCGTATGTTAATTTTGCCAGAAATGTTTAGCCTGAACCCAAGCTCAAGAAAACAATTGGACACATTCAAAATATTGGACATTCTGCAAGATAATTAGCCTAGATGCTTAGAAAAGTCACTGTTATAAAA